CTCGTCTGTTCGTCAGATCTCGTCTGTGCGCTCAAACAAGGTACGTCCCGTCACGTCAAGGCGTACACTAAGAGCAACTCTACTGATCGGCGCCCCGGCCTTTTTTCTTCTAAAGAAAAAATTCTACGGCGACAATACCCTTGGCACAGGTGGGCGCAAATGCTTCTTCCATGTGCGTGGACTCAAATACGTAGAGCAAATATTTTCATGAAATTAGAGGAACCTAGTCAGCCTAGTCTTCGGGTTGACATTTTGTCGGCTGTTACGAAATCGCGATTTTGACGTGTCCGTACACATGATGAACGCTTGCGCCCGAGCTGAATTTAAAAACATATAAGGGCGCAGAATTTTCTTGCAAATTTCCAGATCCCTGACTTGCTTGATTTCCGACACTGCTTTTCCACAAAAGTATTTGCATGATATTTTTGAAAAGTGCATGCACGAGCGTAGGCTTTGGAGGACGACCATTTTAGAGATCGAGTATTCCCATACGATGGGAACATGCTACATAAATTTCAGCTTTTTAACTTCATCGCTAACCGAGTTGAAAATGAGCGAAAAAATTACGAAAAGCATACACACAAACAACCTTTCATCAACATGCATCTTTGCATTCGCATGGATGTGCAAAAAAACATAAAAAGAGGCTTTGCAGATTATTTAATCTTTTATCATTATTAACGCAGTTGCTCATCAAAGCAGTATTATCTCATTTCAAACGGGAAATATCCATGTGATAAATCCAGGTATGAGTCTTCACCGGCTGCGGTACAAGCTTCACGGCAGCAACAAATAACTCCATCGACCAGCGGAAAAGAAGAATTGGAATTGCTCTCAGTGACCCCTAAACATCGTATTCTTTCTTCACCGAATGTCCACATTTCCATGTTACAGATGCTGAGCATTCGAAGAGCCTGATTCTTTTTTATGATTTTTGGGATTTTGTCAATGCAATCACGCTGAAAACAAATCATATTATCAAAACATTTCTCTGCCGGAACGTTTTTCGTGTGAAGTACTTCTCGCTATTGCATGTAAACAACACAGGATTGATAAAATGAAAGTCTAAAGGAAGGTATTTAAAAAATGCTTATATCTATCCTACTTCTCCGCTGCTCTGTTTTTCTTTCTACTTCTCCACTAACAAATTTAATATATTGCAGCCTCTTCCTTTCAAAAGCGTTTCTGT